CGGATACGACTACAACTACTACTACCCACTAGAAATACAACCGCTACGCCTACTTATACAACAACAACAACTACTACTACTACTACTACTACTGCTACTACTACTACTACCATCTACGACCACAATATTGATACTACTGCTACCAAGGCTACCACTACTACTACTGCTACTACGGCTGTTGCATATGCTCCTCCTACTACTTTTACTACTACTACTACTACTACTACTACTACTACCACTGCCACTGCCACCACTACTACTACTACTACTACGACTACTACTACTACTACTACTACTACTACTACTACTACTACTACGGCTACTAACACTACTACTACAACGACTACAAAGACTACGACTGCTACTAGTTCTTCTACACATACGACTCCGCCTGCTGGCAACACTGACACATACTACTACTACTACTACTACTACTACTACTACTACTACTACGACTATGACTACGACTATGACTACGACTACTACTACGGCTACGACTACCAGTTTTACTGTTGCGACGGCTCGTACGATTACTACGGCGACTGCTTCTACCGATACTGTCGACGACGACGGCGACGACGACTACTACTACTACAACTACTACTACTACTGCTTCTACTACTACGGCTACTACTAATACTAGCACTAGTTCTACTACTACTACTATACAATTACCACGACGGCGACGACCACACTACAACTACGACGACGACTACGACTGCGATTACGACTGGGGCAACCAGGAGTACTACTACTACTACTACTACTACTACTACTACTACTACTACTACTACTTCTACTACGACTACCACTGCTACGACGACTGAAACTACTACTACTACTACTACTACGATTACTACGACACCTCCTGCTGTTACATGTGACACCACTTCTTTGGCCACCACCACGACCATTATTACCACTACTACCACTTCTACTACCACAACTGCTACTGCTATAACTGCGTCTACTGCTGCTACTACTACTACTACCACTACTATTCCTACTACTGCTACTACTACTACTACTGCTACTACTGCTACTACTACTACTACTGCTACTACTACTACTACTGCTATCACTACTACTACTACTACTACTACTACTACTACAAGTGTTACTACTACTTCTACTACTACTACTACTACTACTACTATTACTACTACTACTACTACTACTACTACTACTACTACTACAACGACTAATACTACCAGTACTACCACTATTACTGCTACGGCTACGGCTACGGCTACTGCTACCACTACGACTTGGACTACCACTACTACTTCTCGTGCTAATACCACTCCTACTACTACTACTACTACTACTACTACTACTACTACTACTTCTGCCACGACTACTGCTACTACGACCAGAAACCTTTGGTACGACTACTACGACCATGATTACGACCGCGACTACGACTACTACTACGACTGAGACTGCCACTACCACGGCTACTGCCGCTACTACTACTTCCAGTGCTACTACTGCGACTACTACGTCTTCTACTACGACTACCACGACGGCGGCGACGACGACGACTACTACTACAACTACGACTGCAATTGCTATTAGTCCTATTGCTACGCCTACGACAGCTACTGCGACCCTTACTACGACTACAAAGACTACTACTACTACTACTACTACTACTACTACTACTCCTACTACTACCCCTGCTACTACTACTACTACTACTACTACTACTACTACTACGACTACGACTGCCACCGCGACGACAGTCACGACTGCCAATACTACGGGTACGACTGCTATTACTAGTACTACTTCTACGATTACTACTACGACTACCCCTACACATTTTACTACTACCACCACCACCACCACTACTACCACTACTACTACTACTACTACTACTACTACTACTACTACTACTACTACTAATGCTGCTGCAACTGCAATACGACTACTCCTGAGACGAACACTACCACAGCTACAACGACCACTACGATTACTATTACTATTAATATTACTATTTAATATTATACTACTACTACTACTTTACTTAATATTCTTACTACCACCACAACTTCTACTACTACTAAACTATTTACTCTACTACTACTACTTGCTACTAATACTACCTGTTACTACTAACTACTACTACTCGTTACACTACTACTACCTACTCTGCTACTACTATGTACTACTAATACTACTACTACTGCTTCCAATGCTGCTCTAGTCGTCTTCAAGTAGTAGTACGATACTACTATACTTTTACTGACTGCTACTACTGCTTTACTACGACAAAACTTCACTACTACTACCACTCCCACTACTTACTACTACTACTACTATATATTGACTAACTACTACTACTACTCCCCTACTCCTACCTGCTTCCACGACGACTACTATACTACGACTACGACTACCAAAACGTGTACTACTACGACACGACTACGACTGCGACTGCTACCACGACTATCCACGACGACTACTACTAACAACTAAACTACTACTACTACCACTACCACTACTACTTACTACTACTACTACTACAACTACTTACTACTAACTCCTCTACTCCTACTACTTTACGACTACTGTACGACTACTACTACTACCACTACTACTACTAATACTACTACTACCTACTTCTACTACTACTACTACTACTACTACTACTACTACTACTACGACTACTACTACGACGACTACGACTACTACTACTAGTACTGCTACTACTAACACTAAGGCTACCACTACGACTACGACTACTACTACTACCACTACCACAACAACAACAACAACAACTACTACTACTACTACTACTACTACGACGACTACTAGTACTACGACTACGAGCGCTACTATTATTACTACTACTACTACGACGACGGCTACTACTACTACTACTACTCCTACTACTACTACTGCTACTGCTACTACTACTACTACTACTACTACTACTACTACTACTGCTGCTGCTACTACTACTACTACTACTACGACCACTACTACTACTACTACTACTACTTACTATACTGCTATACTACTACTGCTACCACTTCTACTTACGTCCCCTTTCATTTTCGACTTACCAACTACTACTATTTTATACCACGACTACTACTGACCTCTACTACTACGAATTACCTACTACTACAACGATACTACTATACTACTTCTCGACGACTACTATACTTTCCTACTACTACTGATTACTACCACAAAGTCGATACTCGTTACAACTACGACTCACTACTTCTACTTAGTACTGCTACTATTCACTTACTTACTACTACTATATATACTACTACTTACTACCAGTTTACTACCACTAATGATACTATTCCTCTACTTCTTACTACTTTACTAATGTACTAACTTACTTCTATACTACTACTATTTACTAATACTACTACTACTACTACTTACCGCTCTACTAAAAACTGCTTCACGACACTACTACTACTACTACCACTACTACTACTACGACTACTACTACTACGACTACTACTACTACTACTACTACTACTACTCCTACTCCTACACCTACTCTTAGTACTACTACTACTACTACTACTACTACGACTACTATCACTACTACTAGTCCTTCTACTCCTAAACCTACTCCTGCTACTACTACTACTACTACTACTATTACTACTACATACTTAATTAATACCAATACTACTTAGTACTTAATACTTGGTTTATTACTTAAACTACTACTACATAATACTAACTACTACTACTACTACAACACGTTACTACTCACCTACTACCTACTAATTAGACTACTACTACGACGACTACTGCTAGTACTACGACTGCTACTGCTACTACTACTACTACTACTACTACTACTACTACTACTACTACTACTACTACTACTACTACGACTACAGCTACTACTACTACTACTACTACTACTACTACTACTACTACTACTACTACTACTACTACTACTACTACGACTACTTCTACGACTACTACTGCTACTACTACTACTACTACTACTACGCCTTCTACTACTTCTACTAATACTCCTACTACTTTCAACTCTCTGTTTTCTGTACTACTACTACTACTATACTACTTTTACGCCTGCTACTATACTACTCCCTACTCTACTCCTACTACCTTAATCACTTATACTACTACTACTATTCTTCTACTTCTACTTGCTTTCTGCTGCCACTACACTACCACTACCACTACCACTACCACTACCACTACCACTACATCTACCACTACTACTGCCACTAATACTATTAACCACTACGACTACTATACTACCTCTACTACTACTACTACTATACTTTAACTCTACTACAACTACTACGACTACTACTACTACTACTACCTACTACTTATACTAACTACTACTACGACTACAATACTACTGTACTAACTTACTACTACTAATACTATTATACTACTATAGTAATAATAATAATACTATACTACTACTACTAATACTACCTTACTAATCTACTACTACTACGACTACGACTACGACTACGACTACTACTACTACTACTACTACTACTACTACTACTACTACTACTACTACTACTACTACTACTACTACTACTACTACTACCACGACTATTATTACTACGAAGATCGCTTGTACAACAGCAGCGTGGTGGTAATATCAGGGTCCCCCTTACATTCCAGCGGCACTGCTGTCGCAACGGCTGTAATTCGCGCCGGTCTTCATCGTCCGTTGCCATGGCAAAACTCCCCTTCTGACCGGGACCGGCTTTGAATCACGACTTGTGGTTTCACGGCCTACGGGCGCAGCAAGGGCCCGCAGAAAAAAAAACTTCAAATGCCCCCCGTCGCGATTTTGTGCAAGACGTTCGTTGTCTCTGGGTCCTCCTCCACCGCCTCACTGTCCTCATCTTCTTTGCATGCGCCTACCATGATGAACCTCCGTCGGGTCAAGCATGCTCAGCGGCCCGATGCCGCGCGGGAACCCCGGCGAAAGGAGGGAGGCGCGAACAAAACCCCAGGCCCTCCTCGGTGATCAGGTGCAGGGCCATGCCGCCCACCCACGTGCACCTGCACGGGGGGCCCTAGATTTCCAACGCCGTGACACAAGGGGAAGCAAGACGGATGGCGTTGGCAGATTTAACCATCAGGGGGCCGATTTCAAGGCTTCGCAGCCGTCCCGAAACCACCTGCGGCAGGACGAACCAGCCTTGGTGCAAGGGTCGTAATGTCTGGGGGCCCATGGTGAAAACATGAACGCGCCGGATGTATGTGACCTCGCGATCCCCGACATCCTGCTGCTCCCCAGATCCTCTTCTTAATCCTCGTCGGTGGTGCAACAGACGCAAACTTGCACCCTTGCCTGCTCGACTTATCGCAACAGCCATAGAAAGGCCTGGTCCTTAATCGAAGGGCGCGGTGAGCAAAGGGACCCGGAAGGGCCGCCGCAGGGAGGAGGGAGAGGAACCAGTGCCGCGCCGCGGCCAGGCAGGGAGGAGGGCAAGTCAGGGAGGGTCGGGGTGAAGGGGTCGTTCTCCTACGTCGAGGACAGCGCAACCCACCTCCCACCCCCAGCCAGGACCCCCACTCCCGACCAAGTGATCCAGGGGGTCCTGCCTGGGGGTGGAGGGTGGGTTTTGTTTGTGCTTCTGGGGGCCAAGAGACCACCCTCACCCCCAGCCAGGAGAGTGGCGGTCCTGGGTGGGGGTGGGGGTCAAGTTAGCCAGCTCGAACGAGCCAGGGGGCTCCGTCCACTCCCACCCGCCCTCCCACAACATAAGAAGCGAGTGCGTCGCGTCCGACGCCCGTCGATCATCTTATTTCGTGGGCGGCCAGACGTTCAGCGCGCGACACGAGCTGCGTCCTATTCCTGCCGCGGATTGGGCAACGTCGACGAGAAACAAGACCGCGCGCGATGTACGCCGCGCCCTGCTCTGGCCTCTCATGTTGCATCGTCGGCGGCAAAATGTCCAGCGCGCGAAGTGCGCCGCGTCTCATTCCAGCCACGCGCGTTGCACCGCCAATCGTTTCGATCCTGCCGCGCGTGGAGAAGGGGGAGGAGGAGGAGGAGGAGGAGGAGGAGGAGGAGGAGGAGGAGGACAAGGGGAGGGAGAGAGGGAGGGAGGGAGAAACTGAGGAGGAAGAGGATAATGCCGGATGGGAATTCGCGGGGCGTCCTGGGAGTTTTCTGGTATACGCCTGAAAGCCTCTTGGATATCTCTTCAGGGTTGGAACATTGTCAACACAAGTAGGCGCTATTCTCACAATCCTTCAAACACCAAATGAAACATCAATATTTGCGTTGCCCCCCCAAGACCTCCTGGACGCCTTTTTTCCCGGAAAGGGCTCGAGCCCAGGGTTCTCTTTTGAATTGTTTTCCCATCGGTTTTTACTTGAAGGGGGCCGGCGGAATTTTTGTGCGATAAATTACAAGGTCGAAGGGGGCCGGCGGATTTCAATTGTGAGGACGAAGGCAATTTTTCGCCACCCCTCACGCAGATCGTGCTCTTGGAATTTTACTGCCTCTAAGGACACCTCGATATTTTACAGGTGAAGTCCACTTTTTTCCGACGTCGACTTTAAACGATAAAAAACGATGTAAACGCGTTCGCTCGATAAATAACGAGGTACCGCGGCCTCCGGAACGGCGCTGGGAACGGAGTTTGGGATTCTTGAAGTTGCATAAGTTCGGAAATAGCAGAAATCCCCTGTGTTTTTTGACCCTGACCCCGCCGATCTGCGTGAGGTGTGGCACGGAATGCCAGAAATGTGTCAAATCCCCTGTGTTTTTGGACCCTGACCCCGCCGATCTGCGTGAGGGGTGGCGCGGAATTCCAGAAATGTGGCAAATCCCATGTGTTTTTGGACCCTGATCCCGCCGATCTGCGTGAGGGGTGGCACGGAATTCCAAAAATGTGGCAAATCCCGTGTTTTCGGATCCTGACCCCGCCGACCTGCGTGAGGGGTGGCACCGAATTTCAGAAATGTGGCAAGTCCCATGTGTTTTCGGACCTTGACTTCGCCCAGGAGGGCCCAGGAGGCTCCAGGAGAGCCCAGGAGAGCCCAGGAGGGCCCAGGAGAGCCCAGGAGGGCCCAGGAGGACCCAGGAGGCTCCAAGAGGCACCAGGGGGCCCAAGGAGGGCCCAGGAGAAGCTCCAGGAGGCTCCAGGAGAGCCCAGGAGGGCCCAAGAGGTCCAAGGAAGACCCAGGAGGGCCCAGGAGCCCTTTACGAGGGATCGTGGCCCTGGGAGCGCTGACGTAGCGTTATTTACAAGGGATCGTGGCCCTGGGAGCGCGGGTGTAGTGTATTTTTGAAAAAATGCGTTTCGTGCGTGCCCGCTCGAGGAAAGTGCGCCCCCCATCTCGGATCCTCTATTAAAAACTAGGTCCGCAGACACCCGCTTTCCTTTGTTAAAGAATGCAAAGCGTGTTTTTTTTTTTTGCGGAACCCTCGACAAATAACAGGGTCTGGAGCCTCGACCGCGACGCGGAAAAGCGCCCCGCGCGCAGGAATTCCGAGGATGCCTCGCGCGTGCCGCGTCCCGCGCGCAGGAATTTTGAGGATGTCTCGACTAATTCGTGCGTTTTGCCATGATTGTTTTGGATTTTGACGGGGTGTCTCGCGCGAAAAGCTTGTTTTTTTACATAATTTGTTGAGGATGTGTCGAGCGAAGCGCTGGCTTTGCAAAATTGGAGGATGTCTCGAGCGGGGGCTTCGTGGAGGGCCAGAATTCAGAGGATGTCTCAGGCGAAATGCTTGTTTTCACGTCCCGCTCGCAGGAATTCAGAGGATGTCTCGCGCGTGCCGCGTCCCGCGCGCACGAATTTTGAGGATGTCTCGACTAATTCGTTCGTTTAGCAAGGATTTCTTGGAATTTTGACAGGATGACTCCAGCGAAACGTTTTTTTTTTCCCCCTCCATAATTTGTTGAGGATGTGTCGAGCGAAACGCTGGCTTTGCAAAATTTGAGGATGTCTCGATCGGGGGCCTCGTGGGTGGCCAGAATTCAGAGGATGTCTCAGGCGAAATGCTTGTTTTCACGCCCCGCTCGCAGGAATTCAGAGGATGTCTCGCGCGCGTTGCGTCCCGCGCGTAGGGATGTTGAGGATGTCTCGGCTAAGTCGCTTGCTTTGCTTGGATTTCCTGGGATTTTGACAGGATGTCTCGAACGAACGCTTTTTTTTTCCCCGGAAAGGGCGCAGGCCCAGGGTTCTCTTTTAGTATGTAAACATGTCCCCGGTGCCCAACTTGAAGGAGGCCGGCGGATTCTTTCCCTGATAAATATCGAGGTCGAAGGAGGCCGGCGGATTAAAATTTGAGGATGTCTCAGGCGAAACGCTTGTTTTTGAAATCACGATCGATAAATCACAGGGTGCGGGACACCTCAGCACGACCACACCCCCAGCATGACCACACCCCAGCACGACCACGCCCAGCACGACCACGCCCCAGCACGACCACACCCCAGCACGACCACACCCCAGCACGACCACACCCCAGCACGACCACACCCCAGCACGACCACACCCCAGCACCAGCACGACCACACCCCAGCACGACCCGATCGATAAATCACAGGGTGCGGACCACCCCAGCACGACCACACCCCAGCACGACCCCACCCCAGCACGACCCCACCCCAGGACGACCACGCCCCAGCACGACCACACCCCAGCACGACCACACCCCAGCACGACCACACCCCAGCACGACCCCACCCCAGCACGACCCCACCCCAGCACGACCACACCCCAGCACGACACACCCCAGAACGACCACACCCCAGCACGACCCCACCCAAGCACGACCCCACCCCAGCACGACCACACCCCAGCACGACCACACCCCAGCAGGACCCCACCCCAGCACGACCCCACCCCAGCAAGACCACACCCCAGCACGACCACACCCCAGCACGACCTCACCACAGCACGACCACACCCCAGCACGACCACGCCCCAGCACGACCACGCCCCAGCACGACCACGCCCCAGCACGACCACCCCCCAGCACGACCACCCCCCCAGCACGACCACCCCCCAGCACGACCACCCCCCAGCACGACCACACCCCAGCACGACCACTCCCCAGCACGACCACACCGCCTTGGTTGAGTGGTTGCCTGTCGTCGTGGAATGTTTCGTGGGGTGTCTCGTGGAATGTTTCGCTGGGTGTCTCGTGGAATGTTTCGTGAGGTGTCTCGTGGAAAGTTTCGTGAGGTGTGTCGTGGGATGTTTCGTGAAGTGTCTCGTGGGATGTTTCGTGAGGTGTTGCCCAGTTGGGTATCGTGAAAACGTGTCCATGCTCCACATGTCTATATCCCTGTCCGGGTTCGTGGGTCCATCATGTTTTCTCCATAAGTTGTTTAGGATGTCTCGAGCGAAACGCAGGTTGTGCAAACTTGGGGGATGTCTCGAGCGGGGGCCTCGTGGGGGGGGGGGGCCAGAATTCAAAGGATGTCTCAGGCGAAATGCTTGTTGTCACGTCCCGCTCGCAGGGATTCCGAGGATGTCTCGCGCGTGCCGCGTCCCGCGCGTAGGAATTCTGATGATTTGGAAAAGATGTCTCGAGCGAAGCGCTTGTCCCCAGTACGTTCCGTAGTGCGTCCCCTTGGCACGTCCCGCGGTGCGTTCCCATGGCACGTCCCTTGGCACGTCGCTTGGCGCGTCCCTTGAGACGTTCCGCGTCGCGTCCTCCTGGCATGTCCCGTTGTCCATTAGCTCTGGGGCAGCTACTATGTGTTCAGGCAGCTCGAGCGTAAGACCCAGATCAGTTCGGACAGGACTCGGATGCAAAGGAGGACTCGATCCACGAGGCTATAGAGCACAATCGCGCCATGGCACATCGCAATTCAGCACGGCGCAGCACAGCACAGATTTCGGCACGGTACATCATAATCGATACACTCAGCATTGCAACTTGGTACGTTCCTTGGCACGTTCCGTGGGGCGTCCCTTGGCGAGTCCCCCTGACACGTCGCGTGGCGCGTCCCCTGGCACATCCCGTGGCGCATCCATTGGCACGTTCCGTACCGCGTCCCCTTGGCACGTCCCGCGGTGCGACCCCATGG